AGCGGCCGACCTTTTAGGAAGCCAACGCCGGCACCCCTTCCACCCATTTGGTTAGACAGGGTTTGCAACTCGCCCCCCGCTTCCAGTTGAGGCGCTGAAAAAATATGGTGGCCGAAAAAAACCGAATCGAGACCAACCGGATAAGCGCCCGATTTGCCAATTGCAAGCGGTGGCGCGGGGCCCGTGAACCAGGTGGAATCTTATTTGTCAAGCGCCGCTTCGCCAGGGCGGCGGGCTGGTTGGTGCCGTTCGGGGTGGCGGGGGCAGCGCAGCATCCATTTCCCGCGGGGACAAAAACGCCAGAGATGACGAAGCCAGGGAATCACCGGATCGCATTTCCAAGTGCCTAGGCGTGGTGGGTGCACGGCTTTGCTCGGGCTAAAAGGCCCCTTTTTCCCGGAGGCCTTTCCGGGGACTTTGCTTGCGTTTTTTCGTTGAAACGTGGGGGCGGAGGGGCGCCTGGAGTTCATACGCGCCCCTATTGGGGCAAAAATGTGGCCCCGAAACCGCCCCGCCGCGGGCCCCAATTGTTTTTCTTTAGGTCGTGAGGGGGGTGTCTAAGCCAAACTTTGCTTTATATACGAAGGAAAAGCGTATCTTATTTATTGCTGTGGTTTTTCCCTTCGTTTTGTAGGGTGCTGAAAATCGCAGTTTGTTGATGAAAAGTAAATTAAAAATCAGGTTATTAAAGGTTATTTGCCAAACAGCAATTTCTCGTAGATTTAGGGTGGCGGCAAGTCCAAATGCATTTAAAGCTTTCATAAATTATCATAGCTGAACAGTTTCTGCCTTTACCTATGGGACGGGGTTTTGTATGTAGGCTAGTTCTGCGGAGGGGTTTTTGACTTCTCAGAATTTCCACACAGCACGGCTCGTCGCAAAGGGCGCTTGGCCAATCTGGTAAACAAGTTGCTTTGGTTGACGCCGCGCGTTTATGTAATATTTAAAAAACCAAGCCTTGCTTTCGTGGGCCGTTCCGAGCGCGGAAAAAGGCCAAGCGAAGCTTCTTTTTCAAGGGCATAACATTCTGCGGCGAACGCGTCGCGCAAAAGCAGATACTCAACAAGAAAAAAAAAATGATTGCCTTCACAACAGGTTGGCGTCGGCACGTTGTCGCTGGGCTGGGTCGAAAGCCGGCCCAATTAAAAGACACTGGGCCGTTTAAGTAAGGTATGAAAAATCACGTGCCAGCCCAAAACGCCAAAGCGAGGAAAATGAGAATCCCTCTTGCTGGTTTCTGGAAGGGGCACGAATATCAATAAAAAGGCTGATGTTATCCAAAAAGCGTAGGTGGAACTGGCCGCAGGTTTGCCGATAAATTTCAAATTTGTTCAAAATCGTCAGGGCTGGGGCGGCGCTTCGTAGCCCGAACAAAAACCAAAAATAAGCAAGGGGGCCGCGAAGCCAAGGCCCCCCTCCCGGGGAGGCTTTCTCGCGTTTCCTCGGCCCGGCTTACGGTGGGCCGTCTGCCGGGTTTATTCGGAAGGCTTCGTTTTTCAAAGCGGGTTTGCCACGGGGTGTGCGCGGGGGTTCCCGGTGCCGTGCGGGAAAAGGGGGGGCTGTAGGGCTCGCTCGTCCCCAAACGGGCGGGAAGCGGGGAAAAGAAACCCAATATACAATTGCGGGGGGTTGGGCTGTAGGCCTTGAGGTCGCAAAAGAAATAAATACATCCCCGGGGTGGTCTTAAGAAACAAAAAAGAACTTCCGTGTTCCGGCTGGCGGTGTCCGGGCTGGTGGGCCCCTCTTGGTCTCGGGGGCGCCGCGCCCCTCTACAGTGCCGCGGTTGAGGGGTTCGGGGTCCCGACCCTGCGCGCGACGAGCCCTGCATCTGCGAAAGGGGGGTTTCTTTTCAGAGACCATTTCCTTCTGAAAGTGCCCGGTGTTCCTTTCCTTCCTCCTGTGCGTGGGGTGGGGGTCCGGGCCGCTCCGTTGGAAATGGGGTGCGGTGCGGGGCGCGGGCAGTCGGCGGGTGCGGGCTTCAAAATTAAAAAAAAAAGTGTGTGTGCGTGGGGTGGGGGTCCGGGTCGACACAGGGGACGCGCGAGGGGCAGAAACGACGGAACCCCCCCTTCCCCCACCCTCGGAGCTCGCAGCGCCAGCTTTTTCCGAGAAAGAAAACCCGCCTCGAAGGTTCACAAACATTGCGCCGGGTGTGCCCGCTGAAGTCGCCCATTTTCGGGGACGCCTGTCGAAGCCGGGGGCTCCGAGCAAGGGGGGCAACAACCGGCCGGGGATCTCTCCACACCTTTTGCGGACGACACGCCCTGCGGCTCTAGGTGCGCATTGGCCCGGCGCGCCTCACGGCAGTCGGCGTCTCCCTGGCTGCGCGGGTGTGTTTGTGTGTGATTTTTAGGGGAGGGGGGCAAACGCACAAAGGAAGGGGAAAGGAATGGGATCAGGATGCGAAACCCAGCAGGAAGGCGGGAAAAAGAGAGCCCACCAAAGACGCACATGCACAGAAAGCTGAAGAAGAATTATACCATGCGCCTGTGCGTGCCGACGCTCAACTCAAATACGGCGGGCACGCCCTGGCAAAACAGCAAAACGCATCATAAATTATGGCGCGCATTGGGCTCTCACATGCCCTTTTTTCATTAGTGAATTAGAAATTCGTTCTTCCCATCCCCTTTCTCTACATCCTCCTCATTTACTTCAGATGTCCACATTTATGCGCGAGCGCATGCGCGTGGAAGAATGCTCACCTTCGTCTCCAGCCTTTTCACTCGTTGTGTCCCTCTGTATGCGCGCCTATCTCTGACTCCAACTGCCCCAATGCATGACAGAGACGGGGAGAGAGAGAGAAAGAGTGAGAGAGAGCCGCACAACAAGAGCGGGTCCACACCAGCAAATGACATAGCATAAGTTGGCGCCGCACAGATATCCATTCCTGAAGCAAAGGAAAACACGACATATTGGCACACACAGGTTGAGAGAAGAGTTTTGCGAAAAATTTCGCTGAGCAATAAAAAAAAAAAAGGAATAAGGGTTTTTTTTGTGTGTGTGTGAGATTTTTTCTTTGCATATTTCTTTTCTTTCGTGCATGACTACATGGTGTGCTAATGAGAAAAAATGCATCGAGACAAACAAAAATATGGTTTGGAGGGGCCATATTCCTTTCGTTGCTTGATTTATTCCCTCTTCGTTGTCTGTGACGACATACAAACGCTGGGTTGGCGGATATTGGTGCACCCCTCACTGTTTTTCCTCTCTCCACTACTCTCAGTCCCTCGCATTCCATCAAGGATATTTTTCTATTGAGCAAAATTTGCTCTGTTGCTCCTAGTCCTGTATTCATCTTCTTGAGTTCCCCATCACCCCGTCAGCCCTCCACTTCTTCATTCATGCGCCCTTTGCTCAAAGATGAGCTCCAGACAACAAGAAGGAAAAAAGCAAAAAAACAACAACAAGCAGAGGCAAATGACTGCAGTACGCACAGCGTGCATCCACTGGATTGAAGCCGCATCACCCACAAGCAATGACAACAACCAATTTTCAAAGTGCACCCAGAAATGACACTAGATCTTGCAGCGATGAAAGCTTGCTGATTGGGTGGTGGGTGGGGGATTAAAGCAGAAATGAACGCATATCATGATTCATCACTCCTCCTTCATATCACCCAACTCCATCTCTTCTTTCCCATTCCCCTCCTTCCTCTACATCAAGGGCCCGAACGCCAAACAAAAACAAATATGCACGCCCATCTGCAACGTAGAAACCGCAAGAAGTGCAAAGCAGACGCCAACAAAGATATCACAATGACGTGGAGATCATGCAGAGAAACGAATGCAAAGCAAACGAGACACTACACATGCATGCGCACTGTGCATGCTCGAGGGAAAATGGCGGCAATAAAGTAAGAGTGCCACCCCGCCCCCAAACTACTACCAGACCCCCCGCCCCCAAACACAAACAGGGAGACTCACTCTAAATGAATAAACCGACAAGACGACCCAGAAAACAAAACAAAAAATGTGTCCGCACATGCTTATACATTTCTTCCTTTTTTTTGTTTTTAATATAACCCTTTCAGCCTTTTTCGTATTTTTCTGTTTCATTTCAGAACTCAACGCCTTTTCTTTTATCGCCCCTCTGTCGTCATTCATTTCGCCGCTCCCTTCGTTGCCGAGACACCCCCACTCTTTCCACCCGGCGCGCTCCTGCAGGAGCCCCCCGGGCGGAGTTCGCCCTCAAAGCGATTCCACAACCTCATTTCCCCGTATTTGCATGAATCTTTGTGTTTTTCTTTTTTATTCCCCCCCGCTGTTCCGCTTTTTTTATTTTCAGCTCCTATTTATCCC